ACCCCCCTTTCGGGCTGTTTTTTCCCTCATCTCCCTCCCCCTTTTGTCCCCCCCCTCCCCCAGTTCAAGCAGATCTCTCAAGCCTACGAGGTCCTGTCGGATTCGCACAAACGGGCCCTGTACGACCGTGGTGGGGAGAGGGCCATGAAAGAGGGGGGCCTGGGGAACAGGGGGGGCAGCAGCAGTGGATTTGGATCCCCCATGGACATCTTTGACCTCTTCTTCGGCGGGGGAGTCAGGATGCGTGGCCGGGCAGACAGGAGAGGTACTGGGAAGGTGGGGATTTTGGACCTGGGAAGGGTGGTGGGAGAGTGGGAAAGGCTGGGAGGAGAAGTGGTGATGGAAGGGGCAGGGGAAGTGTCCAAGGGCAGGTTGGATGGGGTTTGGAGCAACCTGGGCTGGTGGGAGGTGTCCCTGCCCATGGAAGGTTGGATGTAGATGGTCTTTAATGTTCTTTCCAACCCAAACCAGTCTGTGATTCCATAAGACAGGCCTGGGAGAGTTGGGGTGTTGAGCCTGGAGAGGAGAAGGCTCCAGGGAGACTTTAGAGCAGCTTCCAGTGCCTGAAGGGGCTCCAGAAAAGCTGGGGAGGGACTTGGGCCAAGGGCAGGGAGGGATGGGAGCAGGGGGAGGGATGAAAAGTGGGAGAGGGAGATAGAGATGAGATCTTGGGAAGGAATTCTTGGCTGTGAGGGTGGTGAGACACCAGAAGAGGTTTCTTGGAGAATCTCTTGGATGATGGAAGTGTCCAAGGGCAGGTTGGATGGGGCTTGGAGCAACCTGGGCTGGTGGGAGGTGTCCCTGCCCATGCAGAGATGGGACTGGATGGTCTTGAAGGTCCTTTCCAACCCAAACCAGTCTGGGATTCGATGACAAAATCCCCCCCAGGCTCCTGGGAGGGGACAGACACCCCCTGCAGGAGCCACCATGACGCCGTTGGTGGCCCGTGGGGCTTTTCCTCGTCACCTTCTCTCATCACCCTCATGACTTTCTCCTCTTCAAAAGAACCCTTCCCTGTCACTGTCCCAGCTTTCCACCAAGTGTCCCCAGGGCTTGGGACTGACTCAGCCCAGCTCTGCCTCAGGGGGGGCTGCAGCCAGACCGGGTAGGCAGGGTCTCTTTGGTGGCTTCAGGGATGTTTCTGGCCTGGGTCACTGGGACAGGGTGACTCGTCCCAGCATTTCTTGCTGAAGTGGCAGGAGTTAATAGCAGGGCAATTAAAGAGGCCACAGGGAGTGTCTTGGTGACTTCAGGTTGAGCTTCTCCTGCTGGCTTGGGGTGAGAAGAAATGGGGCTGTAGGGAAGCTGGGGAAGGGGTTTAGAGAAGGGCAGGGAGGGATGGGATGAGGGGGAGGGATGAAAAGTGGGAGAGGGAGCTGGAGGTTGGAGCTGAGGAGGGAATTGTGGAGTGTGAGGGTGGGGAGAGCCTGGGCCAGGTTGCCCAGGGAAGCTGTGGCTGCCCCATCCCTGGAGGTGTTGAAGGGCAGGTTGGATGGGGCTTGGAGCAGCCTGGGCTGCTGGGAGGTGTCCCTGCCCATGCAGGGGGTTGGATCTAAAAGATCTTGAAGGTCCCACCAACCCAAACCATTCCATGACTCCATAAAACAGGCTGGGAGAGTTGGGGTGTTGAGCCTGGAGAGGAGAAGGCTCCAGGGAGACCTTAGAGCAGCTTCCAGGGCCTGAAGGGGCTCCAGGAAAGCTGGGGAGGGACTTGGGACAAGGGCACGGAGGGAGAGGACAAGAGGAAATGGATGAAAAGTGGGAGAGGGAGATGGAGATGAGATCTTGGAAGGAATTCTTCTCTGTGAGGGTGGGGAGACCCTGGAAGAGGTTTCCTGGAGAAGCTGTGAACACTTGGCAGTGTTGAAGGGCAGGTTGGATGGGGCTTGGAGCAACCAGGGCTGGTGGGAGGTGTCCCTGCCCATGCATGGGTGGAACTGGATGAGCTTGAAGGTCCTTCCCAACCCAACCCATTCCATGGTCCTGAGCTGTTTCATTCCCTGCCCATCCCTGGGGATCATGGAATCATTTTGGGTTGGAAAAGGCCCCGGGATCAGTCGAGTCCAAACATCAAAGGCTGAGGTTGGAAGGACAGTGGCCACCACAGAACTGGTGACATGGACCTGTGGTGGTCACTGTCCCCTGGGTCAGGTCTGGGGCTGATCTGGGGTGTCCCCTCTGTGTGTCCCCCCCAGGGAAGACAGTGGTTCACCAGCTCTCTGTGTCCCTGGAGGACCTGTACAACGGGACCACTCGGAAGCTGTCACTGCAGAAGAACATCATCTGCAGGAAGTGTGGAGGTCAGGCTGAGGGTGACCCTGTGCCAGCACCCCCAGACCCTCTTCTCCCACCTCTAACCTCCCCTCACTTCATCCTGGGACCCCCCACCCTCTTCCATCATCCCCAAATCCCCTTCTCCCACCTGTAAGGACCCTCTTCTCCCACCTCTAACCTCCCCTCACTTCATCCTGGGACCCCCCACCCTCTTCCATCATCCCCAAATCCCCTTCTCCCACCTGTAAGGACCCTCTTCTCCCACCTCTAACCTCCCCTCACTTCATCCTGGGACCCCCCACCCTCTTCCATCATCCCCAAATCCCCTTCTCCCACCTGTAAGGACCCTCTTCTCCCACCTCTAACCTCCCCTCACTTCATCCTGGGACCCCCCACCCTCTTCCATCATCCCCAAATCCCCTTCTCCCACCTGTAAGGACCCTCTTCTCCCACCTCTAACCTCCCCTCACTTCATCCTGGGACCCCCCACCCTCTTCCATCATCCCCAAATCCCCTTCTCCCACCTGTAAGGACCCTCTTCTCCCACCTCTAACCTCCCCTCACTTCATCCTGGGACCCCCCACCCTCTTCCATCATCCCCAAATCCCCTTCTCCCACCTGTAAGGACCCTCTTCTCCCACCTCTAACCTCCCCTCACTTCATCCTGGGACCCCCCACCCTCTTCCATCATCCCCAAATCCCCTTCTCCCACCTGTAAGGACCCTCTTCTCCCACCTCTAACCTCCCCTCACTTCATCCTGGGACCCCCCACCCTCTTCCATCATCCCCAAATCCCCTTCTCCCACCTGTAAGGACCCTCTTCTCCCACCTCTAACCTCCCCTCACTTCATCCTGGGACCCCCCACCCTCTTCCATCATCCCCAAATCCCCTTCTCCCACCTGTAAGGACCCTCTTCTCCCACCTCTAACCTCCCCTCACTTCATCCTGGGACCCCCCACCCTCTTCCATCATCCCCAAATCCCCTTCTCCCACCTGTAAGGACCCTCTTCTCCCACCTCTAACCTCCCCTCACTTCATCCTGGGACCCCCCACCCTCTTCCATCATCCCCAAATCCCCTTCTCCCACCTGTAAGGACCCTCTTCTCCCACCTCTAACCTCCCCTCACTTCATCCTGGGACCCCCCACCCTCTTCCATCATCCCCAAATCCCCTTCTCCCACCTGTAAGGACCCTCTTCTCCCACCTCTAACCTCCCCTCACTTCATCCTGGGACCCCCCACCCTCTTCCATCATCCCCAAATCCCCTTCTCCCACCTGTAAGGACCCTCTTCTCCCACCTCTAACCTCCCCTCACTTCATCCTGGGACCCCCCACCCTCTTCCATCATCCCCAAATCCCCTTCTCCCACCTGTAAGGACCCTCTTCTCCCACCTCTAACCTCCCCTCACTTCATCCTGGGACCCCCCACCCTCTTCCATCACCCCCAAAGCCCCTTTTCCCCCCCCCCAGCCCCTCTGCTGACCCCTCCTGTCCCCCCCTGCCCAGGCTGTGGGGTCCGGGAGGGTGCCCAGAGGAGATGTCCCAAATGTCACGGCTCTGGAATGGAAGTTCGGATCCACCAGTTGGGTCCCAGTATGATCCAGCAGATCCAGACAGTGTGTTCCCAGTGCCAAGGTCAAGGAGAATGGATCAGACCTCGGGATTGTTGCCTCACCTGCAACGGCCGCAAAGTGGTGAGGGAGAAGAAGATCCTCAGTGTCCACCTGGATAAAGGTGAGCTGGGATCACCTGCAGAACTGGGGATCAGCCCAAACCAAGCCCTGAGCTCCCCTCAAACCCACCCTAGAGTCATGGGATGGTTTGGAAGGACCTGAAAAGATCATCAAGATCCAACCAGGTGATCTTGAAGGTCCCTTCCAACCCGAACTGTTCCATGATCTAAAGACAATCCCACCCATTGCCATGGGCAGGGACACCTCCCACCATCCAACCTGCCCTTCAACACCCCCAGGGATGGGGCAGCCACAGTTTCCCTGGGCAACCTGGCCCAGGCTCTCCCCACCCTCACACTCCACAATTCCCTCCTCAGCTCCAACCTCAATCCCAGGAAAGCTGGGGAGGGACCTGGGACAAGGGCAGGGAGGGATGGGATGAGGGGGATGGGTGAAAACTGGGAGAGGGAAATGGAGATGAGATCTTTGGAATAAATTCTTGGCTGTGAGGGTTGGGAGACCCTGGAAGAGGTTTCCTGGAGAAGCTATGGGTGATGGAAGTGTTGAAGGGCAGGTTGGATGGGGCTTGGAGCAGCCTGGGCTGGGGGGAGGTGTCCCTGCCCATGCAGGGGGTGGGACTGGATGGTTTTCAGATCATGAAATGGTTTTGGTTGGAAGGGACCTTAAAGACCTCATAGATGATTCACTCATGGTCTTTAAGGTGGCTGCTCCATCCCTGGAAGTGTCCAAGGGCAGGTTGGATGGAGCTTGGAGCAACCTGGGCTGGTGGGAGGTGTCCCTGCCCATGCAGGGGGGTTGGATCTAGATGATCTGAAACAGGCCCATGGAGGTGGTGGAGTCACCATCCCTGGATGTGTTTAAGGGTGGTTTGGATGTGGTGTTGGTGGAGATGGTTTAGGGGAGAACTTTGTAGAGTGGGGCTGATGGTTGGACTCGTTGATCCTTGGACTCGTTGATCCCAAGGGGCTTTTCCAACCTTTACGATTCCATGATCTTCAAGTTCCCAACCCCATCACCTTCCAGGCATGAAGGACGGGCAGAAGATCACTTTCCATGAAGAAGGAGATCAAGTTCCAGGTCTGGAACCTGGAGACATCATCATTGTCCTGGATCAGAAGGAGCACCCGGTGTTCAGGAGGAGTGGAGATGACCTGGTGGTGAAGAGGGAGATCAGCTTGGCCGACGCGCTCTGCGGCTGCCGGCAGCTCATCCGCACCCTGGACAACAGGGCCCTGCTCATCTCCTCCCAGCCAGGTGGGCTGGGGTGGTGGGACATGTAGGAGACCCCCAGGAGGAAGCCTGAGAGGTGGCACAATCAGTCAGAGAATGGCAGGGCTTGGAAGGGACCTCTGAAGATCATCAAGTCCAACCCCATTGCCAGAGCAGGACCCAAAAACCCTCACCAGTGAGTGACCGGAGCAGGTCACTCAGAAGGACACCCAGATGGGTCTGGAAAGTCTCCAGAGAAGGAGACTCCACCACCTCTCTGGGCAGCCTGTCCCAGGGCTCTGTCACCCTCACAGTGAAGAAGTTCTTCCTCATGTTGAGGTGGAACTTCCTGGGCTCCAGTTTGAATCCATTGCCCCTCGTCCTGTCCCAGGGCACAAGTGACAAGAGGTTGTCCTGCCTTCTTGATGCCCTCATATATTTCTAGACACACAGGGCCCTGCTCATCTCCTCCCAGCCAGGTTGGCTGGGGTGGTGGGACATGTAGGACACCCCCAGGAGGAAGCCTGAGAGGTGGCAGAATCAGTCAGAGAATGTTGGGGTTGGAAGGGACCTCAGAAGATCATCGAGTCAAACCCCGTTGCCAAAGCAGGACCCAAAAACCCTCACACAACTAGGGCAGGTCACTCAGAAGGACACCCAGATGGGTCTGGAGTCTCCAGAGGAGACTCCACCACCTCTCTGGGCAGCCTGTCCCAGGGTTCTGTCACCCTCACAGTGAAGAAGTTCTTCCTCATCTTGAGGTGGAACCTCCTGAGCTCCAGTTTGAATCCATTGCCCCTCATCCTGTCCCAGGGCACAAGTGACAAGAGCTTGTCCCACCTTCTTGATGCCCTCATGTATTTATAGACATTCATTAGATCCCTCCTCAGTCTCCTCCTCTCCAGACCAAACAGCCCCAGGTCCCTCAGCTTTTCCTCATCAGTTCCAGCCCCTTCATCATCCTCCCTTGGACTCCAGTCAATCCCTGTCCCTCTGGAACTGGGGAGCCCAGAACTGGACACAACACTCCAAGGGAGGTCTCAGCAGGGCCGAGTAGAAGAGGGAGGAGAACCTCAATCTGCTGGGGACACTTCTCTGAATGCACCCCAAGATCCCAGTGACCCTGAGGTCTCTCTCTGTCTCTCCCAGGTGACGTTATCAGACCTGGGGACATGAAGTGTGTCCCCAACGAGGGGATGCCTGTCTACAGGAGCCCCTTCCAGAAGGGGAAACTCATCGTGCAGTTCCAGGTGAGGAGATGTTGGAGCCTGGCCAAGAGGCCATGGAGATGATCCAAGAGGTTGGAGCAGCTTTGGAGCCAGGCTGGGAGAGTTGGGGTGTTGAGCCTGGAGAGGAGAAGGCTCCAGGGAGACCTTAGAGCAGCTTCCAGGGCCTGAAGGGGCTCCAGGAAAGCTGGGGAGGGACTTGGGCCAAGGGCAGGGAGGGATGGGATGAGGGGGAGGGATGAAAAGTGGGAGAGGGAGCTGGAGGTTGGAGCTGAGGAGGGAATTGTGGAGTGTGAGGGTGGGGAGAGCCTGGGCCAGGTTGGCCAGGGAAGCTGTGGCTGCCCCATCCCTGGGGGTGTTGAAGGGCAGGTTGGATGGGGCTTGGAGCAGCCTGGGCTGGTGGGAGGTGTCCCTGCCCATGCAGGGGGTTGGCTCTAGATGCTCTTCCAGGTCCCTCCAACCCACCCCACGTCTCCATAACCTTCTCCATCCAACCTCCTCCCCCAGGTGAAGTTCCCAGAGCCTGGTTGGCTCCCCCCAGACCGGCTCCGCCAGCTCCAGACCTTCTTCCCCCCCCAGGAGGAGGTCATGGCCACCGAGGAGACCGAGGAGGTGGAGCTGAGTGATTACA